ACTGTCTCGGCAAGTATTCTCGTAAACACAGTCGGTTATGTCTTAAGTGAATGTAAACAGTGGTGAAAGAAATCTCAAGTGCATCATTAAATTAGATCCGTGCATTCGGTCTTAAAGGGGCAGCAGCTTATAAATACCTGCTGTTCCATAAGCGCCACCTGCTGTTAGAGTGACATTTGCCTCTCATTCACAAAGCTAAAATCAAACCATTCTGTTTTTGCTTCAAATTTCAAAATGATACAATCGAATTGCAATCTAAATAACATGTATTTAGCATCTTTGTTTGGATCATGATTAAAATGCAGTGATTGCCTCTGATTTTAAATGGAAAAAGCACAGCCAAAGCCTTAGTTTGTTTAAGAGATTTATTTTATTTGTAATATTTAATTCTTTGATTGAATCGTTACATCCCTATATGCTACTAGTTTTTAATCATGCTGATTTGTCCGCAGTGAAGTTCAGCCGATGTCTTTTTTTTTTAATTCGGGCTACTTAAATTCATTTTGGGCTACCAAAATCTGAAGAATGTCTGCTACCAGCGATTTTTAAATTTTGCGAGCCCTGAAGGGGAATAATATGTCTCCTTTAAATGAATAAATGTTTATTTTATCAATATTTTTATATTAAAATTAAATATTTGCATATTAAAAAAAATATTTCAATAAAATAAAATTATTTTATTTTATTTTAATTATTTTATAAAATAAAATAAAATAAAACAGCAAAACAAAAAATAAAATAAAATACCAGCAAACATCCTTAGGTTTATTTTTTAATCCAGCAGGGAAGCAAGCTGAAGCTCCTGACCAGAAGTTCCCTGCAGACGGATACAGATTGTCCCTTTAGGCTCATTAACACTTACACTGGCATTTCTAAAGCTGCTTCAGATGTTAAGCGGGACCTTTAAGAGAGCGCAGAGGCAAACGGGACTGTAATGACTGATCACATTAATGCTTTACCTCAATCTCTCTCTCTATTTCTGCCATATAACATTCAGATCGAACACAACACTCTCAATATTACAGGAATAGTTCATCCAGAAAAATCAAAGTTACCAACCCTTGCTCTTTTCCATGCAACAACAGTTCATAGTGATCATTTCAAAACAAATACACCATAAAATCATCCTCAAATTAGTCAATAATGAAATTAATTTAAACTCAAGAGCCTTTAAACTTATTTTTCAGTCTGTTCAACACACAAATCTATCATATGACTTCAGAAGATCTGAAATATGCATCATATGCACTAATATAATTGTCCTTTTAAGGGCAAATTTTTTTATTAGCCATTTATCAATAATAATAATAATTTATTATTATTATTATTATTAAAAAATAAACAATTAGAAATAATAGGAAACTACAAGAAAAATCAAAAATCAAAATCAAAGAAATCAAAGAGTACAATAAACTAAAATAAAACGCAATAACGTATTAAATAAAATAAATAATTATTTTTTAAATTAAAACAATAAATATATAAAAAAAATAAAAATAAATATTGGACAGTATAAATCACTGTTCACTTGCATTATTATTATTATTATATTGTTAGCATGAATATTATAATTATAATAAATAAATTATAGATAATAAAAAATAAATAAACAATTACACTAAAAAATGCTGGGTTGTTTCAACCCAACTTTGGGTCAGATATGGACTAACCCAGCTGTCGGGTTAAATTTTTACATTACATTTTTTACCCAAAAGTTGGGTTAATCCATATTTGACCCAAAGTTGGGTTGAAACAACCCAGCATTTTTTAGAGTGTATCATTCACTCCATTGCCCTATGAATTTCAGTGATATAAATAATTATTTTTTAAATTAAAACAATAAATATATAAAAAAAATAAAAATAAATATTGGACAGTATAAATCACTGTTCACTTGCATTATTATTATTATTATATTGTTAGCATGAATATTATAATTATAATAAATAAATTATAGATAATAAAAAATAAATAAACAATTACACTAAAAAATGCTGGGTTGTTTCAACCCAACTTTGGGTCAGATATGGACTAACCCAGCTGTCGGGTTAAATTTTTACATTACATTTTTTACCCAAAAGTTGGGTTAATCCATATTTGACCCAAAGTTGGGTTGAAACAACCCAGCATTTTTTAGAGTGTATAACTAACAATAAATAAGAAAAGAGGTGTATATGTGTCCCTGGAGCACAAAAGCAGTGTTAAGTCGCTGGGGTATATTTGTAGCAATAGCCAACAATACATTGTATGGGTCAAAATTATACATTTTTCTTTTATGTCAAAAATCATTAGGATATTAAGTAAAGATCATGTTCCATGAAGATATTTTGTAAATTTCCTACCGTAAATATATCAAAACTTAATTTTTGATTAGTAATATGCATTGCTAAGAACTTCATTTGGACAACTTTAAAGATGATTTTCTCAATATTTCGATTTTTTTGCACCCTCAGATTCCAGATTTTCAAATAGTTGTATCTCGGCCAAATATTGTCCTATCCTAACAAACCAGACATCAATGGAAAGCTTATTTATTCTGCTTTCAGATGTATATATCTCAATTTATAAAAATTGACCCTTATGACTGGTTTTGTACTCCAGGGTCACATATGTGTTTCACAGAAGTAAGCAATATAGAAAGTCACCCAGGGCCAGAACAGCAAGAGAGCGAGTAAATGACGACAGAACTCGCATTAGAGACCGATCGGTTCGGGAAACAGGACTTAAGATTCAAAGATAAACCTCAGGCTGGAGGAATGCTGACTAAAAGCATCACAAACACGAGATCCAGCGGCTGTGAGGCACAGGACAGGAGACGGGATGTGAAAATACTCTGAGCGTGGACTAAACACTATCTATGGAAGAAACGCCGAGGCCTGATTTCCATCCTGGTACTCACCACATACTCGAAGACCAGCATCAGGGTTTCCTTGGTGTGAATGATGTCGTGGAGCAGCACGATGTTGGTGTGTTTCAGGCCTTTCAGCAGAGACGCTGCACACAAACACAAACTCGTTAACACATTCACGCCAATCAACCACTTTTACTCTTATATATGATTTATTTGTGCATTTTAAAATCTGATATTGCAGAGGCAGATGTCCATTTATCTGGCAGTCAGCAGTTCCTGGATTTAACATATAAACACAGCGGTAAGTTTCCCTGATATGAGGTTTTCCATGCTGAAATTAACCCTGTAAACAGAAAGCCTGATGTGCATATAGTGACTTTAACTAATAATAACTAATAACTTGTACCAAGACCTGAGCAGAACTTTTACAGAATTTGTATTAACCTTTTATTATTATTAATTCAATTCAAGTTTATTTGTATAGCGCTTTTTACGATACAAATCGTTGCAAAGCAACTTTACAGAAAATTCAGTTTCTACAATATTTAGTTATATACAATATTTGTATTATTATTAATACAATTGTTTTATTTTTAGAATTATTATCATTTTTATATAAATACATTAGAAATAATAAAAAAACAAACAATTATAAATAATAATAATAATAAATAAGAAACAAAAGTATAGTAAAAAGTAAATAATCAAAAATGAATAATAAACTAAAGTAAAATAAAATGCAATAAGTATTAAATAAAATCATTATTTTTTAATAAAATCATTATTTTTAAAATAATTATAAAATAAAATAAAATTAGTAAT